GGGCGGGGGGGGGGGACAGGGAAAGGCGCCTGGGACTAGAATTCAAGGATGCCCGGGGCAAGGAAGGTGTGACTGTGTTTCCCAGACTGCAAAACGAGTCACCTTGCGGTGTTGCGTACCCCGGTTATTTCAGGACCTTGTTGCTTCAGACTGTGGCAAAGGGAGGTGGCAGGCTGTTCAAAGAGGAGAAGCTTTCTCTTCCAGGCTTTGTGTACCCTTCTAAATGCCGGAGGGGGGTGTGGAATCTTGGGGGTGCCCTGGGGTTCTTTTAATAATCTATGAAGGATGAGTGCAAGAATAGGCTCAGTAACAACACTCCTCATCTCCCGGCCACGACTTTCTAAAAGCCCTCTCATTTACAGGGAGGAGGCGGCAACCATAGCTAAGCGAACATACTTAGTAGGAGACTTGCGGGATGACTGTGTCCTAAGGCTTAAGTAAAGTTAGCTGAACTTCTCAGTCTGGAACTTACTGGGCCGGGTCCAACCGCTTTGGTGACCCTGTGGCCCTGGGCTGCTCCCTCCAGCCCTTCCCGCTGCGGCTGTGTGCCCTTGGGCACCTTGCTGGCAGTCTGTGAGCTCCTTCACGTGGTGGCAGCTGCTCTGTCTGCCCCTCTTCGCGCTCTGCCGCCCGCAGACATCCCCGCCTCCCTGTCTGCGCGAGTCTTTAATGAAGAAATAAACGCAGATCCAGGGATGACGGCCCACGCGCTCCTGGTGGGGCACTTCCCGAGTTAGGGAAGCGAAGCGCGGAGGCTGCTCCCTTTGTGAAGCGGAGCCCTCCGCTACGAGTCCGGGACGCGCCGGACTCTCCCGGTTGCACTTGGGTCAGGCAGGCGCCCAGGACTTGGGCTGGTGTGAACTGGGTTGTTGTGGCTTGGGGTGATTGCGCAGAGACTCGGGCTCTTTGCTAAGACAGATTTTAGCTGTCTGGAAAGGGAGACCCTAGGACAGCAATTCTGCACTCAAAGTCATCAGGGCCAAAGTTGCCTTCCTCTCGATAAAATCCGCACCCCCACTCTCAGTTTGAGGGCCCAAGTCCAGGATTTTCTTTTTTTGGAAAAGGTTTGCCAAGTCCCAGCTCCACTGGGGCTCTCCCCTGATTGTTTTTCTAAGCCCTCAGTGCCCAGCTAGTTGGGCCCTACCGCGGGTGTCTCATCAGGATGTGATGCTGGGGTCCGGAAAGCAGGAGATAACAAATAGCCCTTGACTTACTCCCACAACTTTAGACAATTCGGAGCAGTTGGTTGGGGGAGAAAGGGTGGAAAACGATGAGAAATTCTAATTTAGCTCCCGGAACACTGTAAACACTAACTTGTCAAAGCCCTGGCTTTTCAGAAATGGCTTTTGGAGTACCTAGTGGTTGAAAAAAAAAATCCTTATGAGAGATTTGTGGAGTTTTCAGGAAACCACACACTCGGTGCTTGTTTATAAAATTCTACCGTTAGCAAAGTAAACACTTTAAATACAGATTTCAGCAGGAAGTTTGGAAGTCTATAGTAAGAGAACTTCCAGGAAGGAACCCGGGGAAACCTCCCAAAGCCTAGTCACATTGTGAATGAATGAAGCCATGCAAATTTAGTTGTTGACCAGAAAAGAAGGTTGTGACTGAAGAAAAAGTCGCGCTGAAATGGAACAACGTGTCAAGGCCAAATCCTACTTCCATTATTGTTTCCGCTAGTGCTTTAAACTACAGTCACTGCGTTGGGGGCGAGGGGGGGCAGAAGCTGCAATAAAGAGTTCAACTTACCCGGGGACCTAGAATGGGAGCCGGGGTGTGTGTGGGGGGGTGAAGGTCTTTGAGGTGCTGCGCTCTCCCTGATCCTGACACACACTATTCTTTGCCTCAGTAATTTTGGCTACAATGCTACCTCAAAGTGTTCTAATTTAAAAAAAAATTCTCCCCAAATAGTATGAGGAATTTTTTTTTCATTAAAGTTCATGAAAGAAAATTCTTGGGGGCTGTGCTAAAAATAAAAGCAACATTGCAGAATACCTCAGTAAATAAATACCCACATTCTTTAGGAAACCCAAATCGAAAGCACTCTCACACACAGGCCACAAACACACAACAAAAGCCAGGGTTAGTGGTGACATCACCACTTCGTTTTCTTGTCATATGTCAGCAAGAATTTTGTAAACATGAGACATTTATAAACTACTATTTCAAAGGCTTCTTCCCTTCGCTCCCCAGCTTACTTTTAAGCCACACTAATTGAATTAAGGTTTTTTTGTGTTTTTTTCCCCCTAAACCTCCAACATGCTTTGAATTTTACTTTGACCAAATATGACAGAAATGAAAAAGGAACTTTAATTTCTTTTGGTTCTCTCTTAGGGATCTGAATGGAAATAACATCACAAGGGTTACGAAGACAGACTTTGCCGGTCTCAGGCACCTCAGAGTTCTGTAAGTGTCTCCTTCCTTGGAGTCTTAAGTTTTGTTTTTAAGATAGCATACCTAGTTATCATCACGAAATGCTCATAGATTTTTAAAACTTTTTTGAAGACAGAAGCAGTAAAAAAAAATCTTCAAGTCTTCTTGTGTTTCTTTTTGTTTTCCATTGTATAACTTTTAGTGCACTTGTGTCTTTAAGAGTGGCTGTGTGATGAGGATAGTAGGGGTTAAAGGACCTCAGACCTGTACTCTAAGGGCATGGCATAGAAATGAAGAATCACTCTTTTCACAGTAAGTGTAAATAACGGAAGAGGTCCGATACTTGGAGGACTAACAGTTAACTTGGGAAGAAGGCTCAGCAGACTGCTCTTTCATCTTACTGAAGTAAGAGCATCCACATTTCTTTCCTTCAGAGAAGAAGTAGAGAAAGGGCTTTGCACCAAAACCGTGCAATCATCTTTTCATCGGGTTTTGGGGGACACTTATGTATCAGCTATCCTGGTCTCACTTGGGGATACATCCCTTATTTTGTAGTTTTGAAACTGACATAAAATATTGCAATATGCTTGATACACTGGTTAGTGGTTTAAATGAGCTGTGAGTTAGCCATTAGCTGAGAGTCAATGTTTGTGAATTTATGTTGCCCCACAGGTTTGTAAATATTTACACCCAGGGACCATGTATTTTTGACTACTATGGGTCCAGAGTTAAGTTTTAAGGAATTACTTTGGTCCTTATGGCATTTTCCAATCTACGGTGTGCATGCCCAGGTCAGAATTAAACTCGGAATGTGCTGAGCTACTGAATTCCTTGGTTAGGAACACCAGTGAAATCAGTGTAAGCAAACGAGCTTCTAAAAGATAGTTTCTATTGTCAACTTACTTTGGAGTTTAAGGTTTAGATTTTACTTTTCACTAGTAACTTCTGCAAGAAGCTTCTTTAGTAATAATAATAATAATAATAATAATAATAATAATAAATCTCTGGTATGGAAGCTACTCCCCCCTCTGAGTCCTCTCACTTGCTTTATTATTAAATTTGCTGGTGACTCTGAATTCAGAGCAAAATGCAATGGACACATGCTAGAGGGATTGCGGGTTTTGGCTGCTAAGTTGAAGCCCCTCAGATGGCTACATTTAGAAGCCGGTTCTGTTTTGCATTTCAGTCAGCTCATGGAGAACAGGATCAGCACCATTGAGAGGGGAGCCTTCCAGGATCTGAAGGAGCTGGAGAGACTGTAAGTATTCTCCATCCCAAACCCATGACAGCACGTCTGCATGTTTAAAATCACTTGGATTTCAAGGGTTATGTCTTTAGTTTCATGGCCGAGCTTTTAAAGTTTCAGAAGAAAGGGCACAACTAAGTGTTTTCCGGCATAAAAACAAAGTCCCTAGGTAAAGAACATGAACTTGTATTAAGGTATAAACGTTTAGGGCTTTCCTGAGACACTTATTTCCTTCGTAGTCATTGTTTTGGCACTAAAATAAGTACATGTGTTCTTATCTGTTTTCTGTGGCTTACACAGAAAGGACCATTGGAAATTTTATTTGCATTAATGATACTTTATGGAAAGAGAGGCTTGGCTAGGAATCTTGTAAACACCCATGTTGTTGCTGTTTGTAACATTGTTGATACTTTAGGACATTTAAAATAGGTGGCTATTAATGATTTATATTTTTTGGTATTTAATACTTACTGGGAACACTGATAATAACCACTGCTTCCAATTCTAGTTAATTGTTTTATAATAGCTTCTAAAATATAACAGCTGGGAAAAATAAGTCACAAATTATTAAGGCAGGGATGAGTGGTCATTCACCACTGACATTTTTTCCATGAAATTTAAGAGTAGATTTTGCACTTTAAAAACCATTGTTTTAGACATAAACATCTGATAGGTATATGTATCTCAAGAATATTATTGTCAAGAATATATATATTCATATTATACAAATGTATAACAAACAAAATTTATATCTGAAATAAATATTATAGACTTTGAACTATGAAATATGATTTAAATATTCCATATGTCATGATTTTTCTAGTTCAGTAAGTTTTCATTTTTAAGACAGGTAAAATCTGTATTAAAAGCACTAGTAATCATTTTAATAAGTTCCCATGCCTGTCCTAATAGTTACTTTAGGAAAAATAATTTTGGTAATTGTTATCTAATATTTTAAATTTTGGTATAGAGTATATTCAGATTCACTGGGTCAAGAGCAAGGTTAAGTCTGTTCTTGTTTAGAAGTGGAAAATTCCCTTGCAATTTTGTGATACATTTGTGAATATGTAGGACTATGTTTTTATTACCTCAAGCAAAGCATGGTCATATCTACTTTATTTTAATTTAAAAGTCTGTCCATTTCAGTGTAATTGTGAATTAATATGTAAATTGATTTAGCCACACTGAGGTACTTTCTGAGAAAGTGAGAACAAGATAAATATTTTTTGCATGTATACCCAAGTCCTTCTGTTCATAACCCATAAAATTCTCTGAAAGTATTTATTCTTTATCTGCTTCATAGATGTTTGTCCATAGCTGATATACCTACCTAGTGAGAAACTCTCAAAGATATTTTAGACCACATTTTTTAAAGTGCCTTGGTAAAATGTAACTAATAGATTATTAAATGTTCATCGAAATGCTAGACTTTGGTGACTTTGGTTAAGAGAGTCTTCTAGTGATCCTGATAGCTTGGTTCTGAAGCTCTGTTTCAGTCACAGGATCATCTATGACATTTCCTACTGCTCACATTCACTTGTATTGTAATATTAAATCTTTAGGAACATAACAATGCACACTTTCTCATATTTTTTTAAAGTCACTTCAGAATGTCATTTGAACTTTCATCTTAAATAAATTAGCTCTTCCTAAAAAAAAAAATCCTACAGATGCCTTAAAATCTGAAATTTGATTAGAGCTGAAAGAGGATACTAGTTTTTGACTTTTCCTTCCCCTGAGAATGTCACTTCATCTCAGAACAATTTTCGATTCTAGAAAGACTAAGTCAGATGTTGCAGAGTGGGAGGAGGGTTTGTAATTTTGAATGAAAGCTAATATATATGCAAGACTTCTTTAAATCACCGCAGCTGTTGGCTGAGAGCAAATATTTCATATTTGTGAGGAAAAGCTGAGAAAATTCCATTTGTTTACAACTGCCAAGTCCATCAGATGGAAGCGCATTGTTATCTGACAGCCAATTCATCTCCTTGGGACTCTGGAATTCTAAGCCATTTCTTAGGAACATTGTGGATACACTTTTCAAATATTTATTTTTAAATATATTAAATGTCAAGACAGTTTTACTAAGACATGCAGTCAACAGTGTTGTGAAGAAGACTATTTTAAATTTTGTTCAGTTTACTTTTTTAAGAATCAAAAATACAAAACCCAACCTTAACTTGTGAGTTCCACATTCAAATTCTTATGGTTATAGCATCTACCCCTATTTTATTAATGGCACACAAATTGCTTGTTTTCTTACAAAATTTCAGTGGGCAATGTAAGAAACAGAAAATAATTAATGGATTAATGTTAAACTATGTATTGTATTATCTACGTGATTGTTCATAAGTTAGATACGAAATTTCAAATGGAACTACAAATTGCGAATGCCTTAGAATTAGTTTATGTTGTAAAAGTCATTCAGCTAGTAAAGCATGACTTCAGTTTTTTTCCTTTGTGTGTAAACCAAAACAGAATTGAAAAACATCGACTTTATTGACATACAGTTTATGGTTCTGAGTTGTTTTCATTTGGAAATGATAACAATAATAGCATTTGTCAATGTGAAGAAATAAAACTTCAGAGATACTCATTTTTCATAATGTTTGTGAAGTTATAACTTAATAAAGAGAAAGATCTGAAAATAGTAAATAATATCTGCACCTTTTTATAAAATTGGTTTTCAATTTGTAAAAAGCAAGGTCATTTTAACTTAAAGTTACCGTATGTGTAAATCAAAGCAGTTTTAGAACAAAAGAAAAGTATTTTTCACTTAATGAAATAGATGTGATTTAAAATGTTGGTCAGAATGTTAAGATGTCCTTCTTTCCTCCTTCCTCCCTCTTTTTTCCTTCCTCCTGCCCTCCTTCCTTTACATTTTTCCTTTCTTTGCCAAACTTTTCTTTTCCCTTGTTCTCTCCTTCTTCCTTTTGCTGTTGTGGAGGAAACAGCATCAGATGATGAGGATTTCATCGGCGTGTGGTTCTGGGCCACTGAGAACGGGATAGGTGTTAATGGAGTTTGCACCCCATGAGCATATGACACTTCCTGTTGGCGAAGTTGCTGTCATACACCCAGGCCTGACATGCGCATGGCCAGGGTGTCTGGAATGCTTTGTTTTATCAGTAGTATTATTGATCTGGAGTTGGGAGATCATGGAGAATACAGATCATGTACCCTATAACAGCTTCCTGTTGTTTGATGAGACAGTTATAGAGGAATGTAATAAAGTGATTTTACCAGCTGATTCAATCCAATCAATTAAGAAAAACCAAGGGCCATACTTGTAAGTTACAGCACAAAGTTAGGATACTTGAAGTATGCTTTTTCTTATACTTCACAGAAGACTGAATAGCTCTGCAGTTCTCTCTTAAAAGGTATTAACTCAATGTATATAGTATCTTCGTCTTCTTTCCTTCCTTCCTTTCTTCCTCTTTCTCTTCCTTCCTTTCTCCCTCTTTCTCTTCCTCCCTCCCTCCCTCCCTCCCTCCCTATGTCTCTTTCTCTTATCCCCTTCCTCTCTGACTAGACCCCCCTTTCTTTCCTTTTCCAACATAAAAATTCCAGAGGCTGCTGAAACCTTGCTGTTCACTGGCTCCCTGTTCACAGCTATGGTCATGCTATATCCATTTTGTTCTGCTCTTTTGCTTTTTATGGCTTTCTGTTGGGTCTTCAGCATTCTACTGGTAAAATCAATTCTTCTCATTTTGAAAATTCCCTCAAAACATGAGTGGCATATTATGGGAAATTTTGATATACCGACAGTGCCAAAAGGAAATACATGTTTGTCTAACTTATGTTCCTGGAGCAGCAGCATCCAGGAATACAAAAACATGGCTTTGTATGGGCAACACAAATACCACACACTCATTGCAGTAATTACAGGAGTAGGAAAGCACCGGGGATGTGTAGATGGCTTCAGAGTGCTGACTATATGATGGTGTTTTAGACTTTGCTGATGGGGGCATCACAGAAAGACAGAATAACAGAGGGGAAAGGGACTGAATGAATTATCTAGCCACTATAAGATTTAGGCACCCTTTAATATCCTCTGCTGGATCAACAGTGAAAAACAGTCAGTTGTTTTCAACTCAACTCCATTCTAAACTCAGAAACATTAGACAGGAGAGCCTCCCACAGAGCCCGAATTTCATTTCTCCTGTGCAATCTTGATTACATGACTTACTCTTTAAAAACTTATTTCCCTTCAAATTAGTTAATCAGACGCCTCTATTGCATCCATACTGCAACTGTCTGTCTTTCAGACAAAACTTCATTCAACTAGTCTGCTTTTATTCTCTTCATATTTAAAGGTCACTTTTAGTTCTAGTGGCTTTGCCACTGGATAGTTTGTTTGAAAAAAACATAATTCTATAATACTGAGCTGTAGCCATGTGAAGATTCCCGGGAAATAAGTATGATAACTTAGATATTTGAAAATTTTACCAAATTCATAATCGTAGAACCCATCGCTTTTTAACATTGACGTTTAGATCCCTTTAGGATAAAGGCCCTCTTTGAGCAAACACTGTATTTCGTGAACCGATACTTAAAAGATACGTTCTCCTGTAAGATGGTACTGAATTCTTCCTTTTGACGTGAACATACCATTTATAAACAAGTCTCAATATGAGGCTGGGAGCTGTGGCACACACAGAGGTTGAGTTGTAGGTTGTAACACATGAATTCAAGTGGAGAAAATGTTGCAGAACAGGTCTGAAGGATAGCACTGTTTACCCTCTGTTTGTCCAGGCTGTATAGGACCCCTCTTCCCACTAATAATAATAATCCTGAAAGCTTATATGCAACTGAACACATACATACTTCTTATTGTAAAGAGCATCTCATAACGCTAATCTCCGTGGCAAAGAATCCAAGTTCATCTCAGGGGACTCTTCTCTGGCATCATACACATTGGTTTAGAATTCCTGTTGTTAACTTTGTAGACTTTTTTTCTTAAAGAAATATATCAGAGTATGCATACTACATAAAGTAAAACTGTGCTAAGC